AAGTAGTAATGCCTGAGCTAGCACACCTACATATTATATTTTGTCATTTGGTGAGAAGTTCAGTAGAATGACATTAGTGTATTAAACACATAAAATTCTAGCACATCCCAATTTGAAAAATCAATTAGAATTTACAAAGGAAATATCCAGGTAAAACTTACCGTTTAGGTAATTGGTTGCCAACTGGGTATTCCTGAGCATACATACTTTCTACTTTTTTAAGTACAGTTTGTTAATGCCTGTGGTTTAGGTTCTGGCTCTAAGAAGACAGCCATTTTGCTTACACTGTAGGTAGAAGCGACTCTGTGACAGGATCATTTGCACATTTTTCTCAGTGATGGATCACTTTAAATTCATCACTGCCACAGACAATTAACAAAGCAAATATCCTACAGATCTCAGGTCATGACCATCCTCTGTGCACACAGAAGGACAAGCAAAAAAGAAAACCAATACCCCCCTTCCTTAGCTATTCTAATTTATCTCCTAGTTATCTGCTTTGAAGTACTCATGCTTTGAATTAAAAAAATAGTAAAAACCTACTTACAGCAAAATAAATTACCCTTTGATATCCAGTTCAGTAGCCTAGCATTTGAGAAAAACAGAACTCCACAAAGCCCTTAATATATTCCAGATTTGACAAGCTGTGACCTATTTACCAAAGCAGAAAATCCACCACTGACTCTGCATTGTTTCTTTCTCTTTTTTAAATAATTTCAGAAGCAGATAAATCATATTTAGCACCAAAGAGAACTGCCTCTAGGCTGACTGATAGGAAAAGTGGGAGGAGAAAAAAAGGGAAAATTTAGCAACTTTGATTCAGAAAGTTGTTCCCGAGATACAAATATGCAGAATTTTAAGTATTTCCTGGGATTGTCAAAATATAGGGACTATTTGCTGAGTAGATGGTAGCTCTCTCCTGGGGTCTTTAAATACTGTAAACAGTATTCAGAAGCCACAAGTCATGCCTGTGTTTTCTTCACAAGAAACTTCTGAGATTTGAGGTTAGAATTTTAAACACACTAGAGGAAGAATAAGCAACATTATGGAAACTCATGTGCACTCTGGATAAGTGGTAGCATGTTTTACATGTATTGATTTAATTGCCTCTATTTTACTAGACCAAATACAATAATGAAGAAGGAAAAAAACACTGGGGCCCTTCAGCAATTTTCCATAAAACAAACATTATGATGACAATGTACATCACATTTCAAATAAGAGAATGAAGCACTTTCTAAGTTTTTACCCAAAATGAATTTGAGTCACCAGAACTCTTTAAGGAAATAGAAATATCACACAATATATATATTTGACATATATATATCAAAATGCCATTATGTCATTAACATATGTAAATTTATTTTTTATGTATTAATAACACATAATGTAATTTAAATAAAAACAAAATTATGAAATGAAATATAAATAAAAAGTGCTAATGGCTTGCTGCATATTTCAGTATAGAATTTTTGTGCCTTTGTGCAAAGCAAACTAGAATCATACATTTCCATGAAGGTTCAAATACCCTGTCTCATAGTTTCAATAAGAGCAACTTATTCCCTGATTATACTAAAGTTTCCAAAGTCCTACCAATGAGTTCCATAAAAGAAAGTTCTCTTACATAACAAATACCACTAGCAAAATTGATATAATAAATATGAGTTCTGTAAGATACATTATAAGGACTATTATAATACATGCTACCATCTTTAGGGATTCCAGATTGTGCCACTTTTATCAACAAACTAGAACAATCACAGAATGAGGTCATTTCCCAACCACTTCTCACATCTTATGGTGATCCAGACATTAAGCCAAAATAAAATTTGGACATAAAAATGGAGTATTCTGATAATTTGAGTATTGCATCATTTAAAAAAAAACAGTAGAGGTGTAAAGTTATAAAGAAGGATTAAAAATTACTTTCAAATAAGTTCCCTTATTCACTGACAACCACTGCAATGGCCTGATAGCTTCCTTCCAGAATGTTACTGATTAAAATAAGAAAAACTGGGATAGCTTTTGAGACCCTTGAAAATCACCTTCCATCTAAAGCCACAAGGACAGACATGACCTATAATAATAGGGACCATTTGGTTTCAGTCATTGCTTTTATTGAGCACACTCATACTCTGTGATGCTGTGATGCTTTGCAAGGACACTGGGATGGATATTGGTTCTCTAGACTGAAGAGTTGGAGCCTTTGGTAAAACTCTGAGTGGCTTGCATTGCTTCCCTCTGCCCAGTCCTCCTCTCTCAGCTGGCTGTCATTCTGTCAGAAGTATATGCCACCAGGCCACAGACTGGCATGCAACAGATCTGCAACCTTTAGCTGAACTCCCCTTATGGTTCTTATTGTCGTTAACTTTGGGAAAGCTTCCAAAAACTGTGGATCATCTTCAAATATGCAAAGTGAGGTAGTATAGCCATAACAGGCTCAAGTACATGTGCATCCTGAGCTGGTTTAATCATCTTATTAATATTCAACAGCATCAATTACATTCTGTAGCCACTGCCCTAATAAACATTAATTTGCATCAAATAAAGTGTTAATACTGTAAAATGTTAAATATTGCTTTTGATAAACATTTATATTATTACAACTTTCCTCTATTTTATCTAAGTTCCAGGAAGAGAAATCTTCTGATTTTATCACCATATGTATTTTTCCCAATAATGAAACAAGTTTGTTATTTAACAATCAAAACTACTTGTGCCTAAAGTGGCATTTTTTTTTCCACCAAGCTCCTATGTTTTTAAGTCTACTGTCTAGATGGTCTTTTCTTACTTCACTGTGTCTTTATATTTTAACAAGTACACGTAAATATTTTTGTGACTACCAAATAAATATATAATCTCAAAAATGCAAGTTTTAAGAATTTCCAAAATCATGATTTGCAGGCAAATGGATGACACTAGAAGAAACCATCCTGAGTGAGGTAACCCAGTCACAAAAAGAGAAACATGGCATGTACTCTCTCATATATGGATTTTAGACATAGATCTGGGGAGTGCCAGCCTACAATCCTATGGCCAGAGAGTCTGGGAAACAGAAACTTTATTTAGTGGCTGATCGAAGAAGAGGCAGACTCCCTTGGTTAAGTACTGAGCTGAACTCAAGAAAGCCAGTACCAGAGAGGGAGGACTGATGATCAAAGGGATTAAGACTGGGCTGGTTTAACCCCCAGAAACAGCTGACCAGACAAAGGTTAACTCTTGAATTCCAGGCATCAGCCTGGGAATCCAGCATGGGACTGATCAAGACCCCCTGAATCTGGGTGTCAGTGAAGAGGCCTAGGGAATCTATTGAGCCTTGGGCAGCAGATCAGTACCCATCCCAAGTATACACACGGACTTTGGACTCCCATAGAACAATGTGAGGTGCACTCTCACCCTGAACTCTTGGGGAAGGGTCTAGGCCCTGCCCTATATGAAATGACAGACTATGCACACCCCCATGGAGGGCCTCACCCTCCCTGGGGAAATGAGGGGATAACGGGGGGGGGGTTGGGGGGAGGGCACGGGAGGAAGGGAGGGAATGGGAGAGGGACCTGGAACTGACTTGTGAAGCAACCTTGTTTCTTACCTCAATTTAAACTGGAAAATAAAATTTTAAAAAAATATGAAAGCAACAATAAAAATAAAAATTAGTGTAAAAAAAAAGAATTTCCAAAATCAGCATGGGTAAACACAACAAAGGCACTTGTCTTGGGCAGAATCGAAGATGTAAGAGGGGAGGTTCTAGTATCTGTATCTCTGCTTGATTTTATTTTCCTATGTTGATACCATATCATCTGCACAGACGAAAGTTTATATCTATATAGAATATAACTCTGCTCAAAGAAAGAGAATAGTGGAGTTATTAACCAAGGGCAGATTAGTTCAACTGTGTGGTATAGTTCAAGCAGGGACTCCAAGGGGTCTTCACAGCTTAGTTTTAGAGCCCATAAATGGTATTGAATCATGTCTTGGCCTAATAATTCACACTGAAAATGAGAAAATGAAAATAATCTTCAACTGATGCTCTCAAAGTCTTGGAGAGATGTGGAGCCTTGGTACTGTGTGCTTGCATGTGAGAACCTTGACATGAACTAATACTCATTGCAGAAATCTCCATTAGGGGCCACGGAGATGGCTCAGTTGGTACAGTGCTTGCCATGCAAGCATAAGGACCTGAGTTCAAATCCCCAACATCCACATAAAGGGCTGGACATTGTAACCTCATGCTGGGAGGTGGGATGGGGAACCCTTCAGGCTTGTTGGCCACCAGCCTAGTTTATTTGGTGAACTCTAGATTCAGTGAGAGAGAACCTGTGTCAAAAACTAAGGTGGAAGGTGACTGAACAAAACACCTGGCACCAACCTCTGGGCTTCGAATCCAGGTGTAAACTTGTGCACTTAAGTCACACAGAAGTACACCACAGACACAGTTTATACACACAGAAATACAGACAAACAGAGACAAACACATGCAATGAACATTTTCACTAAGTGGGTAGATACTGAACACTTGTTCTGTCCAAGGCTTTAAAATTTATTATTATTTTTCTTCGAGACCATTCGAAAGCCTGGATGCATAGTTTCTGTGCCACTGTAGAGCTGCTGTTTGCAATCACACAATCTTAACCCCAATTGTCTTCAACATCAGCTGCAACTTTCCACATAGAGACCCATAGTGACTGAGAAAATCTGTTGACCAGCCCTACTATGGTGTCAACTCTATGAGACAGTCTCAACAATGTACCTTCTCTCTCTCTCTCTCTCTCTCTCTCTCTCTCTCTCTCTCTCTCTCTCTCTCTCTCTCTCTCTCTCTCTCTCTCTCTCTCTCTCTCTCTCACTTATACTCTCATACACACACACGGTCCAGAGATGAATACTTGTTCTTCCCTCTCATGACCCACTTGGACACCTGCCCCCAGATTCTACAATTTTTCCCAGGATATATCCTTTAATAAATCACACACCTCAAGCAGTCTCTTATAGGGAATAATACCACATTGACATTTCCAAACTCATGTTTTATTAATTTCATTTGTATATCCAAATAGCATTTCTACAAAATGAAATAAAAAGCCTTTTATTTAAAGATCTCAATAATTTGATTGCTTTTTATGGGTTAGGGTTTGCGTTGTTCCTTCATACATCTTTATTAACTATACCCCAAACACTGAAAGCTTTATGGCTCCTAAACACAACAGTATTTAACTATGTCTCTTACAAATTAAAGCTTTATCACCTTTTCACTATTTTGTGCTCCGAAAATGCTTCAGGTTAGTTGTATCGGTCAGCAAATTATGAATTTCCCTTGATGACCTCATCAGTGTGTTGTTTCCATTAGCAAATTGCATTTAGGTTTTTCCTTCTAATCCAGTGGTTCAAACTGCAAGGGATTTGATCCTCAGTTTTCACTGGACTTCTGGCAGCATCTGCAGACAGGAAACAGTTGCAATTGTCACAGCCCTGCAGTCCTAGGAAAGTATTTTATCCCAAATGCTAGTAGTTTCACTGAAAAGGGACTGACCCTAGCATAAAGCGAACGATTTCTTTATTTTAATACTTTTACTTGGTGGTGGTGGTGGTGGTGGTGGTGGTGGTGGTGGTGGTATATGTAGTGTGTGCCCTCATGTGGGTGCATGTGCTCATAAGTAATAACTATGTTGCTTGTGTGTGTGTGTGTGTGTGTGTGTGTGTATGTGTGTGCTGTGGTGTGTACAGTTTGTGTTTTGGCATTTTGTGTGTAGTGTGTGATAATCTATTCTGGACTGTATATCACTGGAACTATGATTTTATTATCTCCAAAGCCTAGCACAAATCTTAACATGTATAGATACTCTAAAATATTTTAAAATGTAAAATTACTTAGACAATCTTATTCATAATTTTACAAAGAATAAACATGTAGAAAAATTACTTACCAATAAATCTGTGTCATGTTCAACATATAATTTCTTTGATGAATTGGATAGCTCAGTTGCCATTTGAATATTTCCATAATGAAAATAAGTATTGTTCTGGTAAGGAAAAAATATTATGAGTCAATTCGTATTTGTCATCAGTGGGAAGAAAACACTTTAATAATAGATGAAAAGTTGATTCTGGCTCATCTGTGTTTACTAGTTTTTCTCATGATAAATTTGTCAAGTTTCTTATTTTATAACAAGCTACAGTTAGTTCTTGCTTGTGAAGGTCTCTGTGGTCTGCTGTTCATTAAATCAGCTCCAATTTGTTTAGATTTTTCTCAAAATGGAGCATCTAGCTGTTGGGAAAAATAAAACATTAAAGTTTTCTTGCAAATTTACCATAAATATTTAAAATTACTGCCATTGGAATGTATAAACCAATTTAAAATTCCTTGTGAAATGAGTTGATGCATTTTGCCTATTAATGACATGTCTAATTTTACGTAATATCCAACAGTTCCCATATATGGGAAAATGAATGGATCCTGAAGTCGCTTGTCCTAGACGACAATATTCAAATTATTTTGCTTGCCATTAAATATTCTCCGACATCAGACATTACTTAGGGTTTTAGACAAACCTTTCACATATGGTCTGCATTGACTCTCTTATTCAGAAATCTTGAGAACATCACGTATTTTCTCCATGTGATAGTTTGTCTCTATGCCCTACATTTTCACTCATAAAGTGAACTTTGCTTCTGCGTAAGTTTGAAATTACACAGTGTACTCTTTCTTTTGATTTCATCCTGACTTCTTCTTAAATTACTGATTATCTCATCCTGTCCATCTGACTTGCTAAATTCCTCCCATCCCCCAGTTCATCTCCTACTTCACCCCCGCACCTAAAACACTGTAACATTTCCTTCTTAGCTATTTTATATGACCATCATTTATCCTTACCTCTGTGCACTTTAATCTTTACTTTTCCTCCAGATTCTGCAGCCCTGGAGGTGGGGACCTGATTTACAGACTTTTACACTTCGCACTTAGCTTCCATTATGATGTCCTGTACATGGTAACCATGGCAGCATGAAGGTTAGATGTGTCATTGTTTTACCTTAGGAGTAGAAAATAGTGCACCAGACTCGTTACAAAACATGAAGTAACATCACCCAACAAATAAAGGTAGGAAAACAAACAGTGGGAAGCGTCTTAATAATCACCAAATAACATGACCACCATATTATGTGATAGCCAAATGTAAAGTGTAGATCTTATTTGGACCTGGTTGTGAACAAACTACAGATGATCATATTTGATGTAGAAATATGTATACAAATGTGTAAATGATAACGTTAAGGACCTATAGTATAAGAAAGGGGTGCATAGTTTATCAAAAGTGGTCCTTATCAAAGGTAAATCCATAATTAATTTTCAATAGCAGGGTGATATTTGCTTTATATAGTCCAAAAAATCATGAGGGAATAAATCAGTCATTAACATTAGGCAAAACATTGATCATTACTGGCACAGTGAGGGTGATATGCTGTTCCTTGTGCTATAGTCAGCACAGGTCTAAACAGTTACATGTGGTAATCACTTCAGTGACTTTTCTGTTGGTCTTTTTACTCCTCAACTTTTCCCCGACAGCATTCAGTATGGGTAACTTGAAGCTTAGACTTCCTGAGAAATTGAGCATCCACCATGGTTCCCTACATTCAAAAGTTTTTGTCAGTTTATTATCACCTACTAAATAAAATCCATTGTTACTCTCTTAACATCCCTGAACTCAGATCCCTGTAGTGTCGACATTTTGAGACTCCCTTTAAGCAATAAGTCAACTGAAACAGCTGCATTTCCTTGGAAGACGTCAGACATTGGGGTCTCTCTTCTTTTCTTTAAGATGTTCTTAACTTTTCTCCATAAGATACCCCCAATTCTCCCTTTCATCCTCCTAATCATGAAGCATTTCCTGATCTACCAGGAGGAGCCTGTTTCTCTATAAGGTGTTCATACATGCCGTGTATGCTTTACTTGGATATGGCTTTATCTTGTGTTATGATGCAGTATAAACATTCACCTCTGGACTTAATCATAAACTCTCAGACACAGATCTGTGTGTAAGATATAGTTAACAAATACTGGTTAACAGGCAGGTGGGAGAATACTAATTGTCATAAGCAACGATGTTTGAGATTAAGAACAAGCAATATCCTCAAAACTATAAAAACATATCTTTAAAATTTAGGACTGAAATGATTGTCATTATTGGAAAGTACCAGGCATTGGGACAAGTACAGTATTTTCACTGACACACTTACTATTCTTAATTCTGTAATTGTATAGACGAGGAACGAGACTTGGCTTTATTAGGTATCTTCCGTGTATAGAGCTCATCTGAGTTCAAATTCACATCTTCTTGAAATCAGCCCCAGTAGCTTCTTTTTTATGTATTTTGACTGTGTAGGAGAAGCCCAAGTTCTAAGTATCTAACTAAAGAGCTATACAGAAGATTAAGCAGAAGGTACACAGATGGCATTACCCGTCCTCTCCCTACATCAGTAATTAGCTTCTCTTTCATTGGTTTTATGCAATAATTTAAAGTTGCTTTGTTTTTTTTTATCTGAATAAAAAGATGTAATACCCATTTTTATATTTGCCATCCTTTTCCACTGTCTGTTATATAAGGACTCAATGTATTTAAATTGTTTGAATGCATGATAATATCCCCCATGATATATGATCATAGGTTATTTTAATCTGAAAATTAGAAATTGCAAGTACTACCCTAACACAGGCATTGTGTCCATGGGCCTATTAGTCAACATGTTGTAGTACACACCCTCTTCTGGGATTGCTCTCAGAACCACTTTCAAATTTCTTAAGAAAATTAATGTCATTACTTGATAGTTTCAGATCCTACTTACTTTAAAGAGTTTTATTTCTTTCCAGAAAAACAAATTCTCCCTGGAAAGATGAGATAATTGTGGGAACACTTAAAATGTAGTTCCTCTAAATCAACTCCAAAACTGTGTTTTTCAAAATTTCTTTTGGGAAATACATGGCTCCCTAAGATGGCCATTTAAGGGAACTGCTTTGAATATGTAAATCATGCTATAAATGTGTGCATATATCTGCATACATTCTCTGATATGTCTATATATACACATGCATATGCACTGGATGATATGTATCTATATTTCCATAGTTTATATGCTAGATATCATAAACTGACTAAATATTAAAGGTGTCAAAAATTTGGGAAAATAAATGTTCCCTTGAAATGAGTGAGGGCAATGTCTGTGTGAAGGGTCCAGGGAGTTTTGGCATAGACCTGTAGATTCCTTAAGACTATTCAGGTAAGTCATTTTAAAGTATCTCCTGGACTGCTAGATGCATAGTGTGCTTCTGTGTTCAGAAGGGATGCCTTGTGTAGCACAATTGCCTATTAAAAACTCTTAGATTTTGCCAAGGCAAAAATATTTCATTAAGTCCCCAACACATAAGTGACGCTTGATTTCCTGTTTTAAAGATTCATTTTTATTTTATGTGTATTGTTGCTTATCCTGAATGTATGTGTGTGTGTGTGAAGTATGCACAGTACCTTCAGAGGCCAGAAGAGAACATCATATTGTCTGGAACTACTGTGTGGGTGCTGGGACTAAAACAAGAGTCCTCTGCCAAATTGACAAATGTTCTTAACCTCTGTGTGGGGACACCAGACCTTGAGCAGAAACCCACTTCCCCTTCGGCCTGGGAGCAGGCATCTATGTAATGTTTACTGAAAACAATTCAGTGCTTTAGGGCTCAGATAGGGCTTGCTCACTGAAATACCATGCCTTTCACACCCCCTACGGCTAGATGCCTCTTCCTGTTTCCCTGTGGTGTCTCCCCGATTCTGGGGCCGGAGATTAGACCACCAGCCAGGAGGAAAGAATGGTATGTAGATGAATGGCAGAAGTCCTTAAAAAGGGAAGCTCCTTTTTCTTAGGAGAGTCTTCTCCTGAGACTTCTCCTGAGAGCTCTCCTAAGTGGACTGGGGTCTCCTCCTAAGCTGACTTGGGAAGCATAAAGTTTTCTTAAAGCAACCGACCGGTCTCTGTGTCATCTATCCCGACCACCTCGCTACATTCTCGGATGCAGGCCGCACAGCAGGTGCTACACCTCTGCACTATCTCTGCAGCCTCTGCCTATCCACATAACCTTTAGTGACACCCCACAGGATACTTTACGTAGATCCATGGTAGCTAGGGTGATGGGGGTGCAGATGCTGGTAATGTATCCCTCTTACTCCTTCCAATAAACACACACAGTTTTGTGTTTTGATTAGTTTCCAGGGCTTTTATTCATCTTCTCTTTTGTAATTTGTATTTCTGTGGCATACTTTCAAATCACCATGAGTGTCAGCGCCCTTATGTATAAAATAGAGATAACCTAATGCCTATCAATAGTTATTTGAAAATCAGTAGTGTGAAATATGCTTAGAAAGATGTTTGGCTTATCACCAGTGTGGTCTTGGACAATTCCAGTAGTTCAGAAGAAGACATTACTGTTCTTGTATCTAAAATCCTCCCTACAGGAGACACAGAAACGTACATAAATGGACACCTGATGCTGTAAAGTGCTTTCCTAGCCACAAACACTGTATAAGCTCTGAGATTACCAAGTAATTTAAAGTAGAGTCCTGAGCCCTTGCTTCCTAAATACAGAGGAGTGGGTGAGTGACCTTGGAAGAGAAAAGGAAGGTAGAAAAAAAGAGTGTCTGGTAATCTTAGGGAAATACTTCAGAACATATTACTGATTATCCTTGTTTTCATTTTCTCTGAACGTGAGCATCTGTATGTAACCTAGGTTGGCCTTGGTCTCACAGTTCTCTGATACCATCGTCCTCAGCTAGAATATGAATACATATAATGGGCATTAAGCATGAATTTATTATCTTAAATTTTAGACTTCTAAAGGTAAAACACAATCGTTGAGAAATATTATGAAACTATTCTGTAAGTGGCAAATCATTATGAAAACATTTAATGATAGCAAAGGCAGTAATTTGTATGAGGGAATTTTGATATTTAAGCTTAAATTTTAACTGGAGAGGAGGCAGGGAGGGAAATATAGAGAAAGAGGAAAAAACAGGAAACATTAATGGTGATTGAAAAGACCATAAGGTAACATTATTTTGTGCTTATTTAAAAATTTATATATATATATATATATATATATATATATATATATGGTGTGTGAGTGTGCGTGTGTGCAGCGTGTGTGCGGCGTGTGTGTGTGTGTGTGTGTACCACTTGGGGGTAATAATACTCCCCCACATTCCCTAGACTAATGCAAATCCTAGCACCATAGGAAACCTCTCTTCTAGTTCTTGGTCAAAGGAATAAAAAGACTGTCTAAATAATGTATTTATTACACTTGAATAATGTATTTCTATTGCCCTTGGTTGTCTTCCATAAACCAAAGGTAAGAAACTATGCTAAAGACACATGACTTGGAGGAAGCAAACTGGAACTGACCTGGAAGTCTCCTGCCTGGGCACTAGCTCTCCTAGTACCTAAAGGTGCTATATAATCTTCCTAGGGAGAAAAATGAAAAAAATCACTAGTACTACCCAGTTATAAAGCCCATGAGACACAAAATGACCAGCATGGCATGATATCTCCAATATTGCAATTGTACTGCTTGCATCGTGGTGATCTCCAACAGCCCCTTAGTTAGATGTAAGACCAGATCAGTAGAAGTGAATTCATGCCTGGTGCTATGAACCTAGCCATCCTACCTGTGGCTGGTGATGTCACAGAACTCAGAGGAGAATTTGCCACTTTCCTAAACCAGTATGACTCCCAGCTGCATTCTTAATACTCGTGCTTGTGTCCACATAAAAAAGTAGCTGTCACTCCTCGTTCAAGTAGATTCTTTACTTGAATGACCATTACCGAAATCTACAACTGATCTAAGTGAACAGAACTGACCTTGGGGAATACATCTGCAATTCATACCCTAATGACAGAAACCTTTCATCCAAGTCCCAACTGGGTGAAAGAAGGAGCAGATGTAAGAATCAGAGGACCAGAATTTCTACTGAAGAACTGCTTTTTCTGAATATTGTGA